ACCATTTGGATAGCTCACAAAGGGTACCCCCCATGAGCCCATGTCCCCCCTTAATAATAAACCAGGGCACCCCTGATTAATCAACCACCCCTGGCCCCACTGTTTTTTTTCTGGATTGCATCAGTCATTGCTGATATTCATCTCATTACCTTCTAATCTGGAGTCTAATCTAGAAGCTCTATTGTTTCTGTACATGCTTCTTCTCTCCAGCTGATCATTATCCAGATCAGGTGTATGCTGATCCTCTAGAAATTCCTCATCTTCTGATGTGCTCAAGAACATGTCTCCAAGACGCCTTGCTGATGCCTCATGATCCTCATCACCCTCATCACCAGCATCACCATCATCACCCCCATCTTCTCCACATGACCCCATTTGCTGCTCAGTGATGAGGATGGCCAGCTCATTCATGTAGATCATGAGCTTCATGTTCATCTTCCTCATCTCCACATACATGATCACCAATGCCAGCATCATGTCCAGGAGCAAGCAGCACTCAATGATGGCCATGGCTGATGAGTCAACTGATGTTGAACTGATGTTGAACTATTAGGCTGCAGTGATATGACATCTGATGCATGAGTTCCCATGCAATTCTCATGGAAACCCAAGGCAAACCCCATGGTTAGTGCTATGAATACCTCATAGATTTTGATGGTGTCCCCATTAGATTGTGATAGCTCATGCCTGGCAATGAAATTTCATGGATGTCATTGCATTCTGATGGCCCATGACTTGTAATTAAATCCCATTGCATTTTCATGGTAAATTACCATTGGACCTGAATGGATCTTATGGGTGAATCCCACTAGACTTTCATGGTTCTCCCATTGGATCTGAATGGATCTGATAAAGTATGATAAACTATGGTAATTAAACTACCCATAGGATTCTCATGGTTCTCCCATTGGACCTGAATGGATCTTATGGATGAATCCCACTAGACTTTCATGGTTCTCCCATTGGATCTGAATGGATCTGATAAAGTATGATAAACTATGGTAATTAAACTACCCATAGGATTCTCATGGTTCTACCATTGGACCTGAATGGATCTTATGGATGAATCCCACTAGACTTTCATGGTTCTCCCATTGGATCTGAATGGATGTGATTGGTGAACCCTATGGATCCCCATCATAAGATTCCCATGCAATCCCCATGTCACTCATTGGATTCTCATTTCCCAATTCACTTCCTTCCCCCCCAATCCCTCACTCTGCAGCTTCCTTCATTTTCCATTCAAAAGCTATCATTGATCTGTGTAATCTCATCTCTATATGGAAATGCATGAATCCAATCTACATAGAGGTCCAGACCTTTTTCTGATCCTTTAATGATAGAGCCTAATGTCTTCTGCTCATGCACCAATTCTTGGAGCTGATGGAAAAAATGCTAAAAAATGAATTTCGATCTGGCTCATGATTGATGTTGATGATGTTGAATAGCCTAGCCTCATCAGCAGCCCTGATATTGCTCATCATGCTGCCAATCTTCAGATTCACATTGGGCCTCATCATCTCCATCACCTCCATGATTTGAGTCCATGCCATGAACACGCTCATGGTGCAGATGCATTGCCATGTGTTCTCATCTTTGTGGCCCTGGTAGCATCTCATGAAGTGCTCATACTCATTGTTGATGATGATCCTCATTTTTCTGAACCTGGTGTTCCCATCAGGGAGGTATGAGCATGTGATGGCTCTGCTCATCCTCCTGCTCATCCCTAATGCAGTAATGGGCTCATGTTGCCTCTGATGTCGATGGATGAGGATGCTCATCAGCAGGACCAAACTGATGCCAATGGATGAGAGCCAGGTGATGATGCTCATCAACTCCATGGCTCAATGCTGATTGCTCTGATCCTGCTAATGGCTACCCATGGCTGAATCATTTCTCATGCTGGCTGAGCCCTATGAAACTCATCAGATGCTCACTGGATTTGGTAAGATTTGACTGTCATAATCTCATGGTACCCATAAGATTCCATTGTATTTGATAAGATTTGATAGGTAAAGCCTCATGGAACTGGATTTGGTAAGATTTGAGTCTTAATTAAAATCTTATGGAACCCATTACATTCCATTGGATTTGAAAAGATTTGATAGGCAAAACCTGATGGAACCCATCAGATTCCACTGGAATTGATAAGGTTTGAGTCTTAAAATCTCATGAATCCAATCAGATTCCATTGGATTTGATAAGATTTGGGTGTCATAACCTCATGAATCCCAAAAGATTCCATTGGATTTGATCAGGTTTGAGTCTCATAACTTCATGAATCCCATCAGATTCCACTGGATACCATGGGTTCCCATGCAATTGCCTTCATGATTCCCCACCCCACCCCATTGGACAGCCAAGCAGCTCCCATGGAAAAAAACAAGTGGGATCAAAGCATTTCTCATGAAATATCATCAAAAACCAGGTGATTTTGATGGTTTGATGCCCCAATGCTATAAGTGGATTTTGTCTCATCCTAATGGTTTTCCCATAGTCATTCCCACCATCAGCTTATTTCCTTTTTACTACCATTCACTTGTCTCAATCTGATGATGATGGTGAAACCACATCAGCATCAATCCCATGTCTGATCCATGCCCTCATTCTATACATCCCTCCCCTTTCTAATTGGGCAGGAGTCAGATCTGGTGTGCTGATCTCACTCAATCTAACCTGATCCTCTGTACTTGAGACATCAGTCTCATTCTCACCATGAGGCCAATGAAGTTGCTCCTGTGGCCCTTTAGCTGATGATGTAGGATTCTCATCCTTGATGGCTTTGATCACCTCATTCATCTTATCCATGATCATCTTTGCCTCATTCTTCATCTCCCAGACCATCAGCATCACCAATGCCAGCACCAATGCCAGCACCCCCAAGATGGCAAACTCAATGATGCCATCCATGGCTGATGATCAGAAACTGGTGCCCATGAATGGCTGCAGTGGGATGGTTTCTCATGAGGACCATGGGGTACACTAACCAGGCCCCATCAAAACCAATAAAAAATCTCATGATGCCCATAGGATTCACCCAATCCAACCCAATGCAATCTTATACAATTAATTAAAACCCAATGGGGCCTATGAGGTTTTAGGACTTAAATCTTCTGAAATCCAATGGAATCTGATGGGATTGATAAGGTTTTAAGTATCAAATCTAATGGGTTTGATAAGATTTGAGTCTAAAAACCTCATAAATCCCATCAGGCATAAATCCCATCAGGTTCCATTGGATTTGATAAGGTTTGGATTGTAAAACCTCATGAATCCCTTCAGATTCCGTTGGATTTGATAAGATTTGGATTGTAAAACCCTCATGAACCCAATCAGATTCCATTGGATTTGATAAGATTTGAGTCTTAAAACCTCATGAATCCAATCAGATTCCATTGGATTTGAAAAGATTTGGGTGTCATAACCTCATGAATCCCATCAGATTCCATTTGATTTGAAAAGATTTGAGTGCCATAAAACCCCATGAATCCTATCAGATCCCATTGGATTTGAAAAGATGTGGATTGTAAAACCTCATGAACACCATCAGATTCCAGTGGATTTGATCAGATTTGGATTGTAAAACCCTCATGAATCCAATCAGATTCCATTGGATTTGATCAGATTTGAGCCTTAAAATCTCATGAACCCCATCAAATCCCATTGTATTTGATCAGATTTGATATTTAAAACCTCATGAATCACATCAGATTCCATTGGATTTGAGTAGACCCCACCATTCCTTACCTTTCAGCTTATTTCATTTTTACTCCATGCGCTTGTCTCAATCTAAAGATCTTACAAGATCTTCATGAAACCTCATAACACCAGGTGTGAGATGCAATCTCACACCCATGCGTTCTAATTGGGCAGGAGTGAGTTCTGATGGGCTGATTTCACTCCACCTAACCTCACCATTTGTCATAGTTGAGGCATTGCTCTCATTGTCATTACATGATTTCTCACCTGATGATGTAGGCTTCTCATCTTTGATGGATTTGATCACCTCATCCATCTTATCCATGATCATCTTCCCCATATTCTTGATCTCCCACATCATCACCAGCACCAATGCCAGCACCAATGCCAGCACCCCCAAGATGGCAAACTCAATGATGCCACCCATGGCTGATGATCAGAAACTGATGCTCATGAATGGCTGCAGTGGGATGGTTTCTCATGAGGAGCATGGGGCTCACTAATCAGTCCCCATCAAAACCAATAAAAAATCTCATGATGCCCATAGGATTCACCCAATCTAACCCAATGCAATCTTATACAATTAATTAAAACCCAATGGGGCCTATGAGGTTTTAGGACTTAAATCTTCTGAAATCCAATGGAATCTGATGGGATTGATAAGGTTTTAAGTATCAAATCTAATGGGTTTGATAAGATTTGAGTCTAAAAACCTCATAAATCCCATCAGGCATAAATCCCATCAGGTTCCATTGGATTTGATAAGGTTTGGATTGTAAAACCTCATGAATCCCTTCAGATTCCATTGGATTTGATAAGATTTGGATTGTAAAACCCTCATGAACCCAATCAGATTCCATTGGATTTGATAAGATTTGAGTCTTAAAACCTCATGAATCCAATCAGATTCCATTGGATTTGAAAAGATTTGGGTGTCATAACCTCATGAATCCCATCAGATTCCATTTGATTTGAAAAGATTTGAGTGCCATAAAACCCCATGAATCCTATCAGATCCCATTGGATTTGAAAAGATGTGGATTGTAAAACCTCATGAACACCATCAGATTCCAGTGGATTTGATCAGATTTGGATTGTAAAACCCTCATGAATCCAATCAGATTCCATTGGATTTGATCAGATTTGAGCCTTAAAATCTCATGAACCCCATCAAATCCCATTGTATTTGATCAGATTTGATATTTAAAACCTCATGAATCACATCAGATTCCATTGGATTTGAGTAGACCCCACCATTCCTTACCTTTCAGCTTATTTCATTTTTACTCCATGCGCTTGTCTCAATCTAAAGATCTTACAAGATCTTCATGAAACCTCATAACACCAGGTGTGAGATGCAATCTCACACCCATGCGTTCTAATTGGGCAGGAGTGAGTTCTGATGGGCTGATTTCACTCCACCTAACCTCACCATTTGTCATAGTTGAGGCATTGCTCTCATTGTCATTACATGATTTCTCACCTGATGATGTAGGCTTCTCATCTTTGATGGGTTTGATCACCTCATCCATCTTATCCATGATCATCTTCCCCATATTCTTGATCTCCCACATCATCACCAGCACCAATGCCAGCACCCCCAAGATGGCAAACTCAATGATGCCACCCATGGCTGATGATCAGAAACTGATGCTCATGAATGGCTGCAGTGGGATGGTTTCTCATGAGGAGCATGGGGCTCACTAATCAGTCCCCATCAAAACCAATAAAAAATCTCATGATGCCCATAGGATTCACCCAATCTAACCCAATGCAATCTTATACAATTAATTAAAACCCAATGGGGCCTATGAGGTTTTAGGACTTAAATCTTCTGAAATCCAATGGAATCTGATGGGATTGATAAGGTTTTAAGTATCAAATCTAATGGGTTTGATAAGATTTGAGTCTAAAAACCTCATAAATCCCATCAGGCATAAATCCCATCAGGTTCCATTGGATTTGATAAGGTTTGGATTGTAAAACCTCATGAATCCCTTCAGATTCCATTGGATTTGATAAGATTTGGATTGTAAAACCCTCATGAACCCAATCAGATTCCATTGGATTTGATAAGATTTGAGTCTTAAAACCTCATGAATCCAATCAGATTCCATTGGATTTGAAAAGATTTGGGTGTCATAACCTCATGAATCCCATCAGATTCCATTTGATTTGAAAAGATTTGAGTGCCATAAAACCCCATGAATCCTATCAGATCCCATTGGATTTGAAAAGATGTGGATTGTAAAACCTCATGAACACCATCAGATTCCAGTGGATTTGATCAGATTTGGATTGTAAAACCCTCATGAATCCAATCAGATTCCATTGGATTTGATCAGATTTGAGCCTTAAAATCTCATGAACCCCATCAAATCCCATTGTATTTGATCAGATTTGATATTTAAAACCTCATGAATCACATCAGATTCCATTGGATTTGAGTAGACCCCACCATTCCTTACCTTTCAGCTTATTTCATTTTTACTCCATGCGCTTGTCTCAATCTAAAGATCTTACAAGATCTTCATGAAACCTCATAACACCAGGTGTGAGATGCAATCTCACACCCATGCGTTCTAATTGGGCAGGGGTGAGTTCTGATGGGCTGATTTCACTCCACCTAACCTCACCATTTGTCATAGTTGAGGCATTGCTCTCATTGTCATTACATGATTTCTCACCTGATGATGTAGGCTTCTCATCTTTGATGGATTTGATCACCTCATCCATCTTATCCATGATCATCTTCCCCATATTCTTGATCTCCCACATCCATTAGAACCTGATGAGATTCATTCCAATGGGATGTGATGAAATGAAATCCAATGGGATCTGATGAAAGAAATCCAATGGGATCTGATGAAATTCATGAGATTTTAAGTATAAAATCTCATGTCCAATGGGGTCTGATGAAATTCATGAGATTTTAAGTATAAAATCTCATGAAATCCAATGGGGTCTGATGAGATTTATGAGGGTTTTAAGTATAAAATCATATGAAATCCAATGGGATCTGGTGAGATTTATGAGGGTTTTAAGTATAAAATCTCATGAAATCCAATGGGATCTGATGAAATTCATGAGATTTTAAGAATAAAATCTCATGAAATCCAATGGGATCTGATGAAATTCATGAGATTTTAAGTATAAAATCTCATGTCCAATGGGATCTGATGAAATTCATGAGATTTTAAGTATAAAATCTCATGAAATCCAATGGGATCTGATGAAATTCATGAGATTTTAAGTATAAAATCTCATGTCCAATGGGATCTGATGAAATTCATGAGATTTTAAGTATAAAATCTCATGTCCAATGGGATCTGATGAAATTCATGAGATTTTAAGTATAAAATCTCATGAAATCCAATGGGGTCTGGTGAAATTCATGAGATTTTAAGTATAAAATCTTATGAAATCCATGGGATCTGATGAGATTTATGAGGGTTTTAAGTATAAAATCTTATGAAATCCAATGGGATCTGATGAGATTTATGAGGGTTTTAAGTATAAAATCTTATGAAATGCAATGGGGTCTGGTGAAATTCATGAGATTTTAAGTATAAAATCTTATGAAATCCAATGGGATCTGATGAGATTTATGAGGGTTTTAAGTATAAAATCTTATGAAATCCAATGGGATCTGATGAGGTTTATGAGGGTTTTAAGTATAAAATCTTATGAAATCCAATGGGATCTGATGAGATTGATGAAGGTTTTAAATATACAATCTTATGAAATCCAATGGGATCTGATGAGATTTATGAGGGTTTTAAGAATAAAATCATATGAAATCCAATGGGATCTGGTGAGATTTATGAGGGTTTTAAGTATAAAATCTCATGAAATCCAATGGGATCTGATGAAATTCATGAGATTTTAAGAATAAAATCTCATAAAATCCAATGGGATCTGATGAAATTCATGAAGTTTTTTAAGCATCAAATCTGATGAAATCCATTAGAATCTGATGAGATTTATGAGATTTTAAGTATAAAATCTCATGAAATCCAATGGGATCTGATGAAATTCATGGTTTTAAGCATCAAATCTGATGAAATCCATTAGAATCTGATGAGATTCATGAGGTTTTGAGTATCAAATCCTTTGATATCAAATAGAATTCTATGATGATCTTATTGACTCAAGCCATATCCAAATTTTTATGTTTCAGAGTTGCTTATTATTAAGGGGTGGTGAAGAAAACTAGCCAGAAGGTACCTACCTACCTACCAGGGGGGGGGGTTGATTAATCCGATGTTGACATTACTAGCAATTATTTGCAAAATACCAGAAACTACTTGCAAAATACTAAAAACTATTTGCCAATTCTGGAAAACATTTGCTGAAAACTAGACACTATCTGCCAAATTCTGGAAACCAGGTGCTAAATATTATAAACCATTTGCTAAATACTAGAAACCATTTGCTAAAGAAGTGGTATGTAGAAACCTTTTTTCAAGTAAAAAGAAAATGCAGAAAACATTTGCTGAATCATGTTGATTTTCGAGAAACCATTACTTGAATCAACGGGGTAACATTTGCAAGTAAAAATTGTTATTGACAATGTTGTTAGGGCAAACTTGGTCAATCTTGGAACACGCATTCGCCAATGGTAGTTTGTGGTGGGAAAAAGACTAATTAATGTCCTTACCGCACATGCCAATTTAATAGTACTAGATTACTAGAGCCTCCTTCACCCATGGCTCGCCACATTGAAACTGTTGACGCTTGAAACTTGAAAACATCTACATGTTTCAATCCAGGAAGGGGTGTATCAAACAGCAACATAAACACATTCGTTGTCCCAATGCAGTTTTTGCAAAATGCACCATACAGCGCCATGAATACTTCCACACGCGATGCCCACAAGCTGTGGGATAAAAAAAAAATATTCCCCAAACGGGTGAGTTGGGGGATGTTGTTGGCAGGCCTTTGCCACATGGCATGTTAGACACCTCAGAAGACCCCAAAAGTCCGGACTGGTGTGTGCCTGAATCTTTCTCTATTTGTCAAAGTCTGCCTGGGGGAGCTTGGGGGGGCGTCCGGTTTCGTGGGGATCCTACCGGCTTAACCCTGCTAAGATGTAAATATGAAAGGAAATTATTTCTTAAATCCTGGAAACTATGTTCTGCATCCTGGAAACTATTTTTTAAATCCCCGATTTTCTTTCTTTAATCCTAGAAATTTTACCTTAAATCCTAGAAACTATGTTTTAAATCCTGGAAACTATTTTTTAAATCCTAGAAATTATTTTTTAAAACCCTACAAACTAGTTCTTTACCTGGGCCCCAAACCCAGAAACCATTTACAAAACAAGGATTGCTTTTACCAAACCCAACCATTGGACAAGGATAGCAGTCAATCACTTGAAGTCCAGAGATTGCCCCAGACAAGTGAGCCATGCTCTCACCGATAGAAACGGGCTGCCAGGCTGTTGGCGCATGCATTTTTCATTTTGTTTCGTTCTATGTTCCTTTGTTCCTTGACTCCTCATTTCAGAATCAGTCATTGTTTCGTTCTTATTTGTCAGTCTGTAAAAAGTTTCAATACATCATAATGTGTCTTGATTTGTCAATCTGGGTTTTGTTTATCTTTAATTATTGGTGTATTGTCTTGTTTGATGATTTAAGGCAGAGCAAGGGTATCACAGAAACCGTTTCAAACCGTTCCCGCTACTTGCTAGGTAATAGTCCGAAACCGTTTCAAATTGTTTTTAACCAATCCCTAGAATGCCTAACTTGCATTACTTCTTTAGGTTTTAATTATATATAATTATTAAATATTTTTCACAAATTGCTTAATTTTAGATTTATTTAGAAAGTAGTTTCTGTAAATTGGGATCATTTAAGAAATAGTTTCTGTAAATTGGGTTTGTGTAAGAAATAGTTTCAAATAGTTTCCCAGTTTAGGGTTGGTTTAGGAAATAGTTTCTCTAAATTATGTTTTTTAAAGAAATAGCTTCTGTTTTCCACAAAAAAAAGGGGCCAAGGCACTCCCCAAATCATGCTGTGATTTTAAAGATGCAATGAGTTGTCCAAGAACATGCGTTTTTCAGGAAATTGGCATTAGTTAATTAATCTCAGTATTAATTCACTTATCCTTTTTTTCAAGCACTTATTGAATAATGTCTGTATGGCACGCTGTCAGTATCGTTCAACCAATATTTTTTATTATCACAACTGGTCAGTCCTACTTTGTTTTGCTGTGTCAGGAGGTTTTTGCTTTTGATGGCTTTGAAATTTACATTCTTGGGTATGTGCTCGTGTAAGGTGGGTTCATAATTTTTCATATCTAAGTTTTGTTACCTTTTAGTTTTGGAATTCCCTTTGTTTTCTTTTCTGCTTCCTTTTCCTTGATTTTTTTTCGACAATACATTTTCAGGCCTCAACGCTATGAATTTAGTTGTGATTTAACCGCCCATTTCGTGCTTAAATTTACCAAGGATTTGTTTGTTAGTAACATCGTAACACTGATTGTTTTTATTATAGCCGCTAAAATCCACATACTCATTAACTTCCTTTCAGTTTTCTCAAATGTTTTCCGTAAATGTTTGTATAACATAATTGTCCGATGATCCTGATGTCGTCCTTACATCCTTTTCCGGGACACTACACATATGCAC